TATATATATATATATATATATATAAGTCTGTCTAAAAAGTAATAACATAAAAAACTGAATTTTTTTCTCAACAACTGGTAACACTGTAAAAACGAGACTGCAGTAAACCGAGAGGTAAGCGTCGTCTACAATGGCAGTAGGAGTATACAGTAAGACGTAAGCAGTAAGCTATTGACCAACCATAGTCGATTATTCTTGAATTGCAAAAATCCCATTAGTCAATAACTTACTGCTTACGTCTTACTGTATACTCCTGCTGCCATATTGTAGACGACGCTTTACATTCATACTCTACCTTCAGTTAAAATTTCAATTTGATAACATTAACACATGTGATTCTACAATCATTTGTATAATTGTAGAATATTTGTATGTATGAGTCACGATCTTACATACCATAAGACCGTGTGGTTTGGGTGACACGTCACGAAAATAAAACACAAGAAAATCGAGTACCGTTATGCGACCAAATTCTATGTCGAACTCCAAGATAATACGATGGAAATATTTAAGAAGTTGAAACAGACTTATAGAGATGAAGTTTTATCCCGGGCACAAGACATTTTTAGATGACGGTGAAATTATGAAGATGAATCCCGTTCTGGACCAACAATGACATAAACAATTTCGTGATTCAAATTTAATATAATCTATCACTAATCACCTCACTGTCAACTTTTCAAACGTTTCTCTGTCATATTATCCTGAAATTTGACACAGAATTTGCTGTGTCAAACTTCACATAATGCTGCTTAATTTTCTTGTGTTCCATTTTCGTGACACGTCGCCCAAACATACAGTTATACAAATGATTGTAGAATTACATGTGTTAATAATCCCAGATAATATGCATGTTGCATAAGACGTCGTAAAGATATCTTATAAAGATATCTTAAGATATCTTAGTTGTCTTAAAGATATCTTTACGACGTCTTAGGCAACATGCATGTTATCTGGGATGTTATCAAATTGAAATTTTAACTAAAGGTATAGAGTATGAATAAAGCTCTCGGTCTACTGCAGTCTCGTTTTTAGTGTTACCGTTTGTTAAAAAAAAATTCTCATTACTTTTTAGACAGACCACGTATATACATATATACATATTATAACTTTTATACCTAGAGATACTATAATGATGAAAAATATTAACCAAAAAATTATATATTTAAAATATATAGGAGAAAATCAAGTCCTTGCATGAATTTATTGCTAAGCAAGAAGAAATTATGAATGCAATGAAGGAAAAGATTACAAAACTTCGCAATAAGAATAAAATGCTTCAAGAAAAAATCGATGCTCTTACTAAGGAATTTCAGAAATTTATAAATTTTGCATTTAATACTTTGCCAGAGCATGCCGATTTTTTATTGCCATTAGATCTGCTTTCTGTTAATAGCCCAAATAAAGAGAACACTAAGCAAGATAAAAAACGATAATTTAAGAAGAAAAAAAAGTGAAATTTATTGTAATAAAAAATTATATGATGGATAGAATATAGCTATCAGAATTAAAAGATGCCACTCGAAAGTTTCATTTTCAGTTGTTCTGCATTAATAAATAAATATATATAATTCTATTTATATTTGCCCTATGTTTTCAACAGTGCGAATTATAACTGGTCAAAATTACTCAAAATATTAATCCACGAGAAATGAATCTCTGCATTTGTTACTTTGACAGCGTGATCATCGCTCATATAGGGGCGTACAGGATATTCCCAAGATAACTAGAATAAGATATTCTTTATCGAACGCTCCTTTTTTTTACATGGGAGAATTTCCCAAAGATAAACACACCACCGTCCCTTAGGGCGAGGGATGGGGATAGTGTGGAATTCGATACCATGTGGTTCCCAGATGTTTCTCAGAGTATTTCTAAGGTAATTAAGGATAAGATACTCTTTGTCTTATATGTATTCTGAAAACAGGAAAGGTCAATAAACCATCTAGAGAGTAGGAATGTTCCAGAACTTTTTGGCCCTATAAAAGGGAGAGCTCTCGGACTGCAGTCACAGTTCCACAAGCTCTCAAGTGCACTATACACACCTGGTCGAACTGTTAGTCGTAAGTATTATTGTATCAAAGTATTATTGTCAGAAAAGTGATAAATTCTTATGTTGGTGTAATAATTTTTCGCGAATTTTACAACAGAAAGCAAAAAAAAGTACATCAATGTATCATTTTATGAACAATCTTTTTTAATATTTATGTGATATTCTCTGAGACAGTAATTGCATATTGCATGTACATGAAGTTTTTGTAATATACGTACTTCAACAATTCTGTAATCTAAGGTTATTAGGTATTTTTTCATGCATATTACATGACTATTTAAATCTGATAAACCTGACAATGTCTAATGATCCTTCTGGAAACATAAGACATTTAATAAATCTTTATGTACATTTACGCAATTATCTCTGCAATGGACAACATTAGCCCTAATTAATTATTTCATATCATAATATTAATAAACAACTTATGAGAAAAGAACTTATTTGCCATACGCCTCTATTAGTGTCAACGTTTTCAAAAAAATTCATTCCGCATAACGCGTAATTTAATTATTATTCTGTATGTGCTTTAATTACAATAATTATATCAAATTGAAGTCGATTGTTCTTTAGTAAAAATGTCAATAAAGTTATTATTTATTTAAATCTTTAATATTATATATCTCTGTAATCAAATTTTAAATTAGAATTCTATTATAGTATAATGAAATTTTTGCTTGAAAGAATTTTTTTAACCTATTTAGCTTCTAGTAGAAATTTAAATTGCGAAGACTTTTTTCAATCGCTCATAATTAAAAAATTATTGATGACTCGATTCAGTTAATTTTTTCTTAGCAAAAATTATCCAGATCATCTATCATTAGAAATAATGAATAAGAAGTTAGACATATCCGTATTTTAAAAATTTACATAATTTGTATGTTTCAATCTCTGATCAAGTCTATAATTGCTATCATCTATCATTGCTAAAGTCTATCATTATATTTATATTTTACATATATTTTTCAACACGTAATGTTTTTAACCTAATCTGTATAAATAAAATGTACATTTCATTACCCGTCTAGTGTCTCAAGTACTACAGCAAAGAACAATGGCTCGGCTAAGCTACGTCGTGTTGATCATCGCTATGAACGTATTAATGTGCGTTCTAGCAGAGGAAGAGACATATCCTCAAAAATACGCGGAGTTCGATGTTCAAGGTATGTTGCGTAACGACGATAGCCGAGAAGAACATATCAAATGCTACATGCAAACAGGGCCGTGCACAGAAGAACAGAGGTTGATGTCAGGTATACCTATATATATTATTATCGAATTATATATACATTTCTTTTTTCCTTTGCGATAGACTCTTTGATCAATACGAAATTAATGAAGAACATTAGCTTTCTGAATGTATCTCGAGCTTTAATTCTATTGTATTCAGATTCTATACATTTTGCTAATCAGGAGAGATGTCGATTATTATGAATTAGAATAAACAAGTACAAAAAAATATCCTCTTGATTTCAGAAATGTTTGGCGAAGCTATCCAAACTGACTGCAAGAAGTGTGCTGATGGGCACAAAGCAATTTTGATGCAAGTACGTGATTATTGGTTACAGAATCAACCCGAGATGTGGCAGAAAATAGTTGTAAAGTCTAAAGACTATGTGAAGAAGAATTAAACAATAACTGCTGACAACTGTTGGCAATATGGACTGATCTATTTCCCGATGCGGTAACCCAGATTTTCTCAATTAATCGATTATAATAGTTTATAATATGATAGTCGAAATAATAGTTGTATGAACAGTAGCATCTGGTGGAACTGAGGCAACATTTTGTCGACATTAATATTACTAATATGCAATTTGTATCATATATAACAAAAATATGTTGTTATTGATCATACTACATTGCATATATCAATAAATTTTAGATTCTAGAAATTCTAGAAATAATTTTTCTTTTAAAGAAGATATCGTAGGGTTCGTTTTCTGTATGATTAGTTAAAATTACAGATGCTTAAATAATACCTGTAATATCTGTAATTAAATAAACGGAATAAATGATTGCACATACCAATTTATCGCATTTTATTATAAAATTTACCTATTTTATTATAAAAATTGTAGTCATGTTAAAATATGTAACAAACTATTCACAGAAAATATAGTACCGAAATATCGATGATCGTAATAGATATATTTATAATTCTGTACAAGTGTTAGATTAGTTGCTAATTAAAGTGTCAATGATTCACTCAAATTCCTCGCACTCTTCATTTGACAACCACGAAACCATTCTGGATCTCGCTCCAGATTATACGCCTTACGCTGATAAAATTGTGCTAACATGACAGACTTCAGGCCTACTTTGCTAAGTGGGACAGGAGGATAATCGTCAAGTCGCCAACCGTATATCCAATTCGTACAATCGGGAAAATAGAAACGCTTCTCCGGGGGTTCTTTATATCTAAAAAAATTTTCAAAAAGCATTTTATATTAGTCGAGTAAATTCCTTTCAAACAGAGATCTGTGCGCCGTGTTTGATTTGTATTATGCACTACCTTTCAGTTAAATAATTGTGAGTAGTGATAAAGGTTGGGATTCCTTTCTCATAAAGGATGACTCTTACATCGGGATCGATCGGTTTCATGCTATCTATATTGACGGAACCGTCAGATCTGGGTGGCCTCCAAAGAGGTAAGGGCTTCCGTTGTACCTACGTGCGTACAAAGTTTAAAAGACATGAGCATTGTGAATCAACAGATTGAAATTACAATGGGTTTGTCAACGCGAGCTGCTGCTCGTTTCTTAGACTCCGCAATTATTTCCCTGGCTCGTTTCGTGAATTTCGGCTCTTTTAACTGATCTATCAATCGTTGTTGATTTTTTATAAACCACTTTATCCGTATCGCGTTTTCCTTTCTTATCAGATCGTCGTGAAATAATTGAAAACGAGCGTTGTACACATCACCAGGAATTTTCGCCATGTTCCGCTCTTGCAATTTGTACGCTATTTCAAGTAAAGTAAAATAGACGATTGTTACGAACAATTTACACAGCCATCAAAAAGTATTTTAAGGAAAATAACTCTGAAGTAAGATTTCAAAATGTCACTGTTCTCAGATGTTTTCTCCTTTCTTCACACACTTGTAAGAAAACGAGAAATAAAGCGATGAATCAAACATGGAAATACACTATAATACTTTGTAGAATGATTTATTTACATCATTATTATGTATAATGCGTTTCACTGTGTTACACAAACTCAATATATACTTATTAATATGTGTACCCTATATTATTTTTATACTTTTTTATAATACCAGTGGGAGCATATATATCGACTATATACAACTTGTTTTTCAAAAAAGTAAACGCTTATAAAAGAGAAAACATAGAAAATGTGAAGTCAATTAATTTTATATAATAATACGTGGCTATAATAATTTGCGTAATAAATTAAAAAAAAAACACAGATTGATAAACGCGTCATATTTTGTACAGTATTATAGTATCTTATAATACCTGAGAAATAAGCATCTATTTGAGGTTTAAATAAAGAGAATTTTGAGATATAAGTGTTTAATACAAAGATTAACAGATTACAATAAAAAGTATAAACAATGAATTGAGAGTCCTGTTAAATTTAATAAAACATACTGACAATTGCATGCTTGAATTAGTATGCAAAATACATGAACGCGTGTAACAGACGCAGCCATGCATATCTGCACAAATGTTTCAGACGAAAGATTAGCTGCTAATCTCCAAAAAAGAATAAGAAAAGATTTTGATAATTTAAATATACGTTTTATAAAGTTATGTTTAAATTTAGATGCCGCTCTCTTTTACATATAGCTTTACACATATGAATACTGTGCTATTTTTCTCTTCAACAATATCAAACGATTTATTCGGCAACGACGTAGGATTAATTAAAAAATTGTAACAATAAATAAATATGGCGTGAAATATGAGTTTTACATGATATTACTCCCTCTTAAAGTCAACATCAAATGACCCAGTTATCACAGCCATAGGAAGCAATATTGTAGTTATATCGTATATGATTTAGATACATAATTTATTTATATTACAAAATGACTAAGGAGCATTTTATCATTTGTACTTGAGTAATCAAGAGGAATCGTACTTGTACAAATAACAGTTTAATTTTTTCTACACTGGTTTTTCTCGTATTTTATACTGTACATCTGTAATATATTTTATAGTTTTATCTACAGTCTTCTATAAAATAATTACTTTACAACACTTGTAATTCCTTTTGTTTAGGGTAGCCAATCATGCCCTGTGTTAATTCAATTCACTCCAATCCGTACCTATAATCCGAACACGAAGTGTTACATCGTATTCTAGTTCAACTCAGAATTTCATTAAGTAGTCTTCGTAACTTTTTAACGTCAAATATTTGATTAATTTTTATAACGTCCTCTTAATAACAATTGTCTAATTTTGCGAAATGATCCTGCATGAATTATGCGCACTTAATTATGCTCTCTAAAGTATAGTTTATTATCGACGAAATTCCTGCATGCATCCCACTGTTTTCTTAACTTACTTAATGGTACAGTGTTGGAGTGGGCTGCAATCTAATTGCACTATGTGCGTAACCTATTTTCACTATTCAAGTGGAGCATATCTTTCCTCTCTTCTTAAAAAACATTTTTATACTCGATAATGCCAAAAAAATGTTAGCTTGATTCTCTGCATCATGCTTTCAACAGTAATTTATTGTATCTACTTTTAAACAAGCGTGAATCCGTCTGTACAGTATAAATATATTTGCTTGGTGTTCTTTAAACAATAAATATTACCATGTTAATCCAATTAAGTATCAATATTGAATAAATTACTAATAAAATATTCAGATTTATTTGTATGAGCTAGATATATACAAATGTTTATTTATAAAGTAATATGGAAATTACAGCAAAAAATAAATAATACAGACAGATTATTTACATTCAAGTTTGATATACCTACATCAAATTGACATTTTACTGAATGTTCATTTATACTCCATCATGAACAGTACAATAGATAATAGCATTCTATTTCAATTATACACGTTGGATGGCAGCCAGCGAATGTACCAGGATTAATAATTATTTCATGATTTCAAATTTAGTATTGCTAATAAAGTAATTTTGCAAATATTCTAAAACAATAGTATTATTTCCATACTAATTTCGCATACATGACAGAAAATCTATTGAAAGCATAAGGTACAATAATAATATAAAGATTAATGAAATGATATTTTTTCTTGCTCCAACTTGCAGGTTTGCTATTTAAAATCAATCATCCTCGTTCAATAATCAGAAATCAAAAAATTAAAAAGAAAAGAGATAACATTATTAGCGCCATTATTTGACGCAGTTATGTTAACAATAATTGAAGAAATTTACATATCAACATTCAATAAATCTAGGTCCCGTACCTTTGCTTGCTATTGTCTCTCTTTAGCGTCAATTTTCGTTTCTTTGCGATAAAGAACGTACGTAAGAATGCCGCTCAAATAATGGACGAATCAACGAAATATTCATTGTCAATAGACTTTTATAATGAAATAGTTTTCTCTCTTTCTTTCTCGTAATGGACAATCGACAGTGCAATTTTTTTTACATGCCTAACTCGTAGTCACTTTGAGTAACACGGGCGGCGAGGCGTGGTTGTTAAAGTACAGACCTGCGCCTTGAAAACTGTTGGATCTTGATGCGAGCGTCGGGTTCTGATTAATTCCGCTCATACCGTTGTCAAGCTCGGAGTCGCTATAGTCATCATCTTGCTTGCCCCGTAATGCATACTTGAATGACTCGTATCTGTCGTGAAGATTAAAAACGCGTTACGCGACGCGACGTAAAGACGGTGAATATTACGTAATCTAACAAAAAACAGTAGAAAGAAACACAAAGTCGATTGACTTACATCACCCAACAGATAGCGGTGGCTGGTGCTTGGAATAAGACACGTGCGCGTAGTCCACGAAAGTATCCCTGTACCCCGCCGAACCTATAGACCTGTTTAAATGCATCTATCATGCCTTGAGCGTGCACGCCGTCCTGCTGTGTGTTCAGCACTGTCTTGCAAACATCTAGAGGGGTTGTTGCAGCGGCCGCAATTGCACCTGCTGTTGCACCTGGTTGCATAAAATCGATTAAAACTTTAATCAACTATATTTCCTCACAATATTTCGGAATAATACGTTAATAGATTGATTTTTATATAGTTCTTGCAAACGTAACGTTATATTATCTTTTCCAAAAACATTGAAAATGTAAATGTAGAAAATTTATATTATGGATAATCAAAAGACTCACCAGATACGATATGTGCTATTGGATTGTAAGCGTGCTCTGGATTTGTAATGGATTGCACGAATTCATAAGAGATAAAATGAATACTCTGAAAAGGCACATTCATAGCCAATTGAGTCGTGTAACTCCTGTAGAATGCAAATATCCCTTCTTTCTGATACACGTGTTGTATACAACTCAACACATTCCTATAAGGGGAATTGTACATCTGCAATCGTTGTTTAACCACTGTAACAAAATAATATTACATGAATCTCTACATCTCCCACGATTAATCTTTTAAGATAATCTAATTTCTAGATTTTCTCTAAATGTAACATTTTAGGAATCTATATATTTTTTTACTAAATTTAAAATAGTGAAAGAGATTGGTGATATTCAACTCATGGTTAGATAAGAAACTGTGTATATCTTCATCAATTAAATGATAACAATAAGCGTAGCACACAGATTGCAAAATTATCTGTCTATTTACAATGATATACGTTATCAAATGAGTATCAAATATCACATATCAAAGTAGTTTTTATATCGAACCTTCCGCTGGGTTCATGACACCGTCATGCAGAACTGTTGCTACGCAACCAGCCGCCCCGTAGACAAGATGATTGAACTGAGATCTCGTACTCTTGAACTTTTCTTTAAGACACTCGTAGCAAGAAAAGTATAAAGCATGCGCAGGACCGGCACCGGCAACCACTGCGCTGACACCTCTAATTGGCCTTAATACACCTTCTTGTCGTATCATTCGGGACAACACTTCTCCCACACCTCCTCCTCCTCCTGGACCAGGAGTCAATGCCTGCATTCTCGTCTGGACACACAATAGATAAGAAAGATAATTATTAAGAATAAAGAAATAATGAAGAAATAATAATAAACTAACTCCATTCTTTTTTGCACATATTTTTGTACAAACAGCTATGCGCAAGATTTTGCAATGCCATTTAATGAAATTGCCATTTGCCGCAAAATTATTTTAAAATGGGATGACTTGCTGATAATGAGAACAGTGACTGTCAAGTATCGTAGTAAGTATTCATAAGTGAGAGCATCGAACGATTTAAATCGAATTGATTTCAGTCAGACGTCAATTTACTTTGCATTAAACTAGAATAACAACATATCTGTTATCCATTTGCATAATGAACGAAATCAAGGCCCTAGCATATTAAGACAGGAAAGCATATATAGTATAGATAGCAGTCTCTGAAAAGGAGACCAGAAATAGAACTCGCTGCCGACGAACTGTGTTACATAATGAATAGTAAACACTTGCATTCTGTATAAGAACCTGGTATAATGCATCATTTGCAATGCACAATAACGCATCCTCTTGCATCCACTATCTGATACAAAGTAACTATTGTCTCAACTGTCATGTATACTCCATGAAATTGTATGATAACATCTTACGTATGATCGTGCCATCAAAAAACGAGCCGTACCTCATAAATACGAATTAATTCAACAAATATTCGATACAGTGCTTCTGTCAGCTGCAGTCCTAACAAATTTCTCGTCTTTTTTTATACATAAATATATATATATATATATATATATATATATATATATATATATATATTGAAAATAAGTGTACTGTGGAAGTGAATTTCTACAATATACGCTTATGTTGCAAGATATGGATAATGGTATTTTAGCAAATACGCAGATAAAATGTTAATATCTTTAAATACATGCATGTGGCAAAAAGACAGGAATGACTATAACATGATAATGCACGCTAATGGACACGCGCATTAATGGCACATACACGTTCTGAACCTATTTCATCACGTAATTTTAGAATGTGAAAAAGAGAAAAAACAAACTTTCCTTTTCTTAATCGAGCAAGTTCTATAAAATTATATTACAAGCTCCGTCAACGTTGTGAGACTTACGGTAATCAAATCAAATTGCATGAGTTCTAATGCAACTATAAATGTCCTAGCTCATGTATATCACACAAAGCGAGACACGCACATGCACACAGGTCCATTAAACTATCTATTATCTTTAACTTTGTCATCCTATATAATTGAGCAAATTGCTTCGTCCAAAGCGAGAGAAAACGCCAGTAAGCGACGTTCGTGAGCGGTGGCGTTATTGAATCGTATATCTGCAAACAATGATTCCACGAGACAAACGTCGCCTATCTGCGCGTCTATTTACGGCAGATATAAATTGAGGCGAGATAAAACGTCCGTTTGCCAAGCGGTTCCAGGAAGGCATCGAGGAAAAGTCGCGCGGCGACGGCGACGTTTTTCCTGGTGCTCACGAACGGAACGCCGGGGGAATTCCACGGGCCGTCGCGTCGCATCGCATTGCTTCTCGTCGCGTCGCGCGGACGCGGGTCTCGCGTCCGCGCGACGGCTCCCGATCGGGAGCGCGCCGCCCGCCGGCGGCGAGGAGGTTATGTAAAAGGATCGCCGGAGGGTAGAAACGTGTGGTGTGATGCGGCGCGGCGCGGGGCCGCCTGTCAGTACCTTGACACTGTCAAACGGATACATGACGCAGTGCTCCATGATCCCAGCGACGGCGCCGGCCGTCATGTGCACGGCCACGGAGTTGGTCGGCAGGCTCTCGTAGTCGTCCATATTCATGGTCCACGGGGGAGAGGCTGTTGCTGTTGCTCGCGCGTTAGCTCGTGAGTGAGCCTCGAGTCCGCCGCCACGATGTCGCGCAATCTATCCTTTCTCTCTCTCTCTCTCTTTTTTTCCTCTTTCCTTCTATCTCTCTCTCTCTCTCTCTCTCTCTTTCTCTCTGCGACACTCTCCGTCTGTCTCGCGTGCTGGCCGACAACACGTATTGCGTTTACCGATTCGATGCTCGACTTGCTCGAGCAGCCCGAATATCGGCTATCGGCGGCGGCGAGAAAACGGCCACACGGCGTTCCGCGGAATCGCGTCGCGAGAAACAAACTGCACACGGACGGATCGCGGCGGGACGGGCGCCCAGGTTACACGCGCTCCGACATGTGACCGCGTGCGTCGATCGTTTCTTAATGGGGCTGCATCGGGGAGCCGCGAGAAGGCTCGGGGGCTCCCCGTTTCCTGTCCCCGCCACTCCCGCGTACGGGGACTACGGGGAGTAACGAGTAACCCCTTCCCACCTGCCCGTCCGCGACCGTACTCGTTCGTTCGTTCGTTTGATCGACACTATCGACAGGCCGCGACTCGTCGCGTGCATCGGCACACGGCACGCGCGAGGATCGAGCCGCGAAACGGCCGAAATAACGCGCGACACACACGAGGCCCACGGGGCAACGAGTCCGATCGCGGGGCGAGGACGGCGGCGCGAGCACGCGAGGTTAGGTCCGGGCGCACGTGCCGCGCATGCGTCGTGCGCGACCACGTGGTCCGCGTGTGCCCCGTCCCGTCCGCGCTTCGAAATGCTCCTTCCTCCTTCCTCGGGACGGGCGTTTGAGCGCACGGAATACCGAGTGAATTTGCACATCCTATGCGACGCCGCGCCGGCACGACGATGATAACGATAGTAATTTCCCGAATGAGGGAGGGAAGAGAGGGGAGAGAGAGAGACGGCGGTGCACGGCGGCAAGTCATCGTGAATACGCGTCATGCACGGCGCATTCCCGCTTCCCGCCCACACGATACCTTCCGCGCCTCGCGATCCTCGTATACTCGCCGAGTGGCCGAGTCTCGGGTTTCTCGCCGCGAATTCGTTTTTGTTTCGGCTGCACTTTCTCCACCGCGGTGACTTGCCGAAACTTTCGCGTGCAAATACGAAAACCACTTGTTATTGAATCCATCCAAGAATCTCGAGACAATTCGTGCAATCGCGTCAGTTTGAGTGATGCGTGATGCGCGGTCCTCAACTCCATCGTGAAAAAGAATGACACTTTGGAGCTTAAATTTCTTCGATGCGCCGAATTAGCGGCGAAAAGCGTTTTTTTTAAATTTGATTTTCTATTATAAAAAAACAGATTTTAATTTTTTTCAACTAAATGAACGTCGATCGGATATTATAATTGGCAACTAAGAAATAATAAATTATCCGAAAGGCGTAGAATGTAGAGAGTGCAGCTAAGCGAAGACCGTTCCGGGAAAATTTTACGCAACCTTCCACGCATACACGTTCGCCTGCGTATTATTGAATGCATAAAAAAGCGAGCGCGTTAAAGTCCCTCGGCGTTTCTGAAATCGAGGCTCTCATGTAATGCAAAACGAACGCGGCGGGCCACGCAGCGTGCCCTGTGCCGGATTATCGCGATTGACCATCGAGGGAATGAAATTTGGCTGCCAGGAGCGAACGAGAGAAGGACTTGCGCCACGTTGCGCCACAGGAAATGCACTCTCGCCGGTTACGTAAATTATATTTTATCGGATGACGTAAATGCGCCGGTATCGCGATTTTTTTACCTCTCTCTCTCTCTCTTTCTCATTTCTCTCTCTTTTTTCAACATGGACGCGTCGCTTTATGACCGGTCTCCGGCAAAAAAATTAAATCGATTCCATGTATAGCGCCCATCGCGAGGTTTATTTCTGACAAACCATCAAAGACCAACAAGCAATTTTTTATTTTTTTACTCAAGATTTTATTTATTTTAATTTGAAAAACATAGTTTGTAAATAAAATATTTCAGATTGGTATTTTTTTAGGTAATTGGAGTGAAAAGTTCTCTCGGATCGCGACGACTGTCGTCTTGGCGAATAAATCTCAAATAAATTAACGAAACTTCGAAATATCGTGAAAATATGTCCGATGAACAGCAGCTCGTTTCAATCGAGGATTCAAAAGCGAAACTTTCTTTTATTTTATCTACAATTGGGAACAATTAAATTAAGAAATTGGCCTCATTATTCAGCCGTTTATTATCAAATATAGATAATAAGGTATATATCAGATCTCTATCAGATCTTGGAGTATCGAGATGCGATCAACGCGTTATTACAGACGCGTCGCGTCGTATTATCGATATTTTCACCTCGCCTCGCGAACATATATCTTTCTCGCGCCGGCCGATGCGCGCAACGAGCGATAACGCTGTTTTTCCTCGTCTATTGTTCGAAACACAATTCGCGGAGACAATGGTCGGTGTTATGCGAATGCGCTTCGAAGAAATCGTAAATATATATATCGCGAACATCGGGAACCAGCTGGTCTATTTACAAAAAACACGGTTTCGCGTAATGAGATATCGGTCGGATCGTCGCGAATTATCGTTCCCTCCCCCTCGAGTGTATTCCAATTTCCGTAAATAATGCGCTAAAAAAAAAAATCAACGCACGCACGATTGCGTGTCGCGGCATTATTATGCCATTTCTAAATGTTGAGCGAGGAAATGGTTTAAGTGACAAGGTCGAGCCGGCGATTTCCAATGCTACTCGCGATGCGCAAAAGTAAACAAAAGCCCGCGCAACGACGGCCGTCGCTTTATTATATCTAATCCCCGTCGTCGCCCTATCGTTCTTAATCTTCGCACATAGCTGCGACGACCTTGGCTCGTCGATTGGCGGCTAGAGGCTGAATCGAATCGGCGACAAGCCAAAGGAAACGCACAAGAGCTTCTTCGTGCGTTTCCTTCTGACGTCTCGAGATCAATAACGGCGGTACCTCGCCGAAAATTGACGCTGGTCACACGAGCTTCGAGGCTGCACGTTGAGCGAAACCGACAAATTCGTCGCATCATTGAGTCGCACTAAATATTTTCGAGATTAATTAGACGCAGATCAAGAGTTTCACGAAGTAGAAATTACTTTCACTGTTTACTTCGCTTAAAGTCCTGACATACTTGTTGATATGTATTTTACTAGATCCAGAGAGAATATAATAAACATATAAAATTTATTTTTTATTGGAAAGCGATTGGTTGTGGAAAATTTATAAACTTTTTGGATATGGCACGCCTAATTGTTTGACAAATTGGCAAATAAAGTGGAAATTTGAAAATACAAAATTATATCTTTCACGATATTCTCGTTGAAATAAAATATGTGACGCGCGTGCCTTTTGTACGTATGTACATGTTTATACAAGCTTACTGTTACCGACAAAAACAAGAATACGCTTCTTGAAGTATAGATCTAAAAATATACGTGACGTAATAGCAGCTTTATGCTGTTGCTCTTTCTATGAAACATATTTGTATCGCCATGAATAATTGCGTAAATGACAAGACATTGGATTTCAGTTATTTTCTTTTTATTACTTTGTAATTCAGTATCATTCGAGGAATGAACGAATTACGCTAGAAGACAATGGTATAAATAACGTGAAAAGACGAAGATGTAGAGAAAGTGAAAATTACAAAAGAATTTTATCAGTTTTCCAACGACGTGAGATATAGCTCGAACCGAGTCTTAAGAACTTAAGATTAGTTTACATCATATGGCGCTTACTTAATGCTTTTTTTATCTTATCGGTGATCCCTTTCGTTATCTTACAGGCGATCCGCATCGTATTCTTTTAATTCTTATGTACACGCACACACGCATGTCGGAGTTCCTTATGAGAATGCTTCTGAAAAAGATTAATCGCTAAATCACTCGCGGTATAAAAACTACAAATGTATATAAGAACTATTTTCTTCCACAGAACTGGTATATAAGCGGAAAGTTAGTCTAGCACACACTGTGGCAACCTTATAAATATATGTATATACTGTTGTTACATCTGTAGTGCATCTAATTACGTACGTGATTATAAAAAGTTGTTGGCGTCGTTAAAATCGGGAACTTGCACAGATAAATAGTGTAATAAATTACGTATATAACACACTTTAATGTCATCCTAGTGAATAACGATCTACGCGCGGAACCGGAAGGACGGGTTCCTCTTAAGGATTCCGATTATAGCTTACGTAAAGAAACAATTGTCGGATCAAGTCCAACGTGATCGTAGAAATGAGTCGATTATTATTTTTGTGCAAACCTTAACAATTTTAATAATTTTAAAATTGCGTATAACGTGTATTCGCGAACACTCGTTCGTATATAAACATATATACATGCGTACAAGTAGACAATTCATTCTCAACAAAAGTGGACAGTCCGCAGATGAGTATACTATTTCGAAAGGAAAAGTACATAATTTCCTCTTAACGCTCACACTCTCCCCGAGATTTACGCAATTAATCTTGTTATAATATTCAACATCGTAATCTTTAACACGTCTTAGATATTACATGGAAGATGTTAGTTAAACTGACAACATTCTGTTATCTCAAAATGTATAAATTTGTTAAAGGATTATTCTAGTAAACTCGTTAATTGAAGAGCTGACTAAGATATTGTATTTTAATCAATGATA